ACACACACACACACACACAAAATAAAACGAAAAGAAAAATGAAAGCATGATCTCGCGCCGCATATCCTAACCACGTGCGCGATTTAGCGCCTTAAACATGCAACCCCCTTTCGGCAACTTACGCCTAGCTTCCCCCCCGCACCCCTTCGACTTTCGCCCTAGCTTTTCCTCTTCTCCCTCCTTTCTCTCCTCTGTACTTTCCCCTCTTCTCGTACTTCCCCTTTGTCCTCCTCCTCCAGCTCCATCTCTTTCTGCTTCCCTACCCTCCCTCCCTCTTAGGATTCCGCCTTCCTTTTTCTCCTCCTCCTCGTGTTCCTCTTCCTCTTCCTCGTCCTTCCCTTCATGTCGCTTCGTCTCCCTTTCGTGATCCGAGTGAATAGGAAAAAAAATCAAAACCACCATACCCTCATCCTTCCCTTCATGTCGCTTCGTCTCCCTTTCGCGATCAGAGAGCAGGAAAGAAAAACAAAACCACCATAGCCTGCTTCGACCCCCTTTCCCCACGCCATTATCATCTCCCCTTGTCCTTGCAAATAGTGCTCCTCACTCCTTATCTTTCATCTTCATCGGCGTCTTCAACCTCGTTTTCATCAGTCAGTATCGTCATGGTAAGGTGCTTGGGGTCTCTCTCTCTCTCTCTCTCTCTCTCTCTCTCTCTCTCTCGCGCGCGCGCGAGCGCGCACACACACCTACCCACACACAGTTCGTGTGAACCCCACGAAAAAAGCATGACTGTGGGAGACTGTTTCGTTGGACTTTCACCAACTCATCAGGAGGTTGAACTCCAACAGTCTGCCCATGATGCATTTGCATGCATGCATGTGTTCGTGCTTGTGCGTGTGTGCGCGCTTGTGCCTGTGTGCGTGCATGTGCTTGTGTGTGTGCATGTGCTTGTTCGAGTGGATGGGCGGGCGTTTGTGAGAGAGCGTGCTGTGCGCCGCCAAAGATATGTGGGGGGGCTGAACCGCTTAGCCCAAGAGGAGACCGTCCTGCCTGGAACCGGTTTCTTCCCACACCCGGCAGCCCTAACTTCGGTTGGGCTGCAAAATCCTAATCTGGGCTGTGGCCAAGTCGTACCGGGCCAACGGCCCCGATTGCCCCGCAATCTTAAAGTTTTAAGATCGCGGGGCAATCCGGGCCGTTGGGCTGGTAGGCCGCGGACGGCCCAGATCCCAAAATTCTCACATTAGGAACTTTTGTAAGTGTAGGGATAATGTCATGACTTTGACAGTACCAGTGCGCTACATCCGAGGCAAGAAAACCAACACGGCTATCCTATTCTTCGACTTTGAAAAGGCGTACAACCAAGTAAATTGGAGGTTCCTACAACAGCGCACACATGGAAAGGATGGGGGTTGGTCAGAGTCTTGTACAACGACACAGGGGCAAGTGTGCAAGTGTGCAAGTCAATGAATCGACATTTATCAGTGAAGTACAAGATGTCCCACTCAGCACTCAGTCAGACAGGGTGATCCACTAGCAGCACCCATTTACTCTTCGTTTCAAGCCCTGCCGAGGGCAATGCAGGCTTTTTCCATCTAGCATCGGAAACGAAGATAAGCAATCGGCCCGAGACAGTCGATTGGTGGATGACGAACCAAGAAGGTGGTGGAGGAGTGGACCCGGCTTTCAAGCCGGGCGGATTACAATTTACAAGGGACAATAGGATGCCTGGAGCAGATGCGGCGGGGACCATGAGGGGGGGACTAAGAGGCGGGAAAAAAGAAAAAAGGAAAAAACACACACACACACACACTTTGGAATGAATTTGCCCATGTTGTAGCGGAAGATTCGTTCCGATTCAATCGATGGAAAACTCTCTCTCTCTCTCTCTCTCTCTCTCTCTCTCTCTCTCTCTCTCTCTCTCTCT